TGTGTGTGTGTGTGTGTAAATATGGTATATGTACATGTGTGTGAGCGCGCGCGCACTGGTTTTTAAGCATGTGGAGGCTAGGAGAACATGGGAGATCCTCTGTCACGCTTTACCATCTTCCTGGAGAAGGGCGTCTCTCTGAACCTGGAGCCCACCAGCACGCTGCTGTGATCATTCCGTCTCCAGTTCCCTCCCAATCCCTCAGTACTGGGGTTACATGCTAGGCTTTTTACAGGATCCTGGGATCCGAACTCAGGTCCTCATGTCTGCAGCAAGTACTCTTACCCACTGAGCCATATCTAGGCTCTTGGCTTCCTCCCTCCCTCTCTCCCTTCTTCCCCCCTTCCCTCTGTTTCCTCCTTTCATCTGCCCTTCCATCCTTTGTTCCTGTATTAGGGACAGAAGACAGGGCCTCATGCACACCAGCAAGTGCTCTCTACCTTGGAGCTGCATCCCCAGCCTGGGAGCAGGGATTTTTTTTTCCAGCATCTTTGGAACAGCTTCCCATCGACAGCTCAGCAGTCCCTCATGGACTGCTCGTGGACACAGGACATACAGACATCAGTTGTCTTCGTTGTTCCTGCAGCGAGTATGAAATCCTTGTTCTCTGATTTCAAAGGCTAATTCAGTGTTTCTAAGGAAATCCCTGGCTGTCACCAACAAGTATATGACTATGAACCGCAGCAGTTTCGGCCTCCCTGTGGCGTCTAGTGCTGAGTCACATGGCAGGCCTGGAGGTGGGGGTTCTTAATGGCTTGATTTAGGTTTGCCCTTTGGCAATAAAAGTTCCCGGAGTACCTTTGAATACTAACAACACTGGCAGGTGTTCAGGTCACAAGAAAAGTTTAAATGGGACAGAACTGAATATTTTACACTTTGTTAACAAGCAGCTCTTTCCTCACCTGCCACTCCTTCCTCTGCCTCCTGCCTCAAACACAGGGTGTATTAGATAAACGTGTTAAAAGGAGTCGGGCAGTGGTGGTGTGCACCTTTAATCCCAGCACCTGGGAGGCAGAGGCAGGTGGGTTTCTGTGAATTGAGGCCAGCCGGGTCTACAGAGTGAGGGCCAGGACAGGCTCCAAAGCTACACAGTTTGTTAAGAGGAGTATAAGTCATCTGCAGGTCCCTTCATTTTCTGGCTTTCGGTCTCACTCATTTCTGCTCCTGGAGACAGAGAGGAGAACACTGTCGGAACTTGCCACCTTGGTTGTGAGGTCAGGCTCAGAGTCTCAGGCACACGCATACATACACACATGGCCACAAGTTTCAAATATGACGTGTGAAACCAGCAATTATCAAATAGTTCTGCCGCCCCAGCTACAACTCAGTAAATGTCCTCCTAGGATCACTAGACCGCAACGAAGCTCATTTTGTATTCAAGCTTAAAAACAAAATAGCAATTAAAAAATCATGAAAACACTACAGGCAGTTTCCAGTTTATAAAATGATTATTTTTCTAAATTTACTTTGGTCTTTTTATTTAAAAAAAAAAAAGACTTATTTTTACTTTATGTGTCTGTTTTGCCTGCATATATGTATGTGTGCCATATGTGTGCTCCCTGGAGGCAGAGCAGCCATTAACTATAGCTTTAGATTTGTTTTTGGGGTGTGTGTGTGTGTGTGTGTCATGTGCATATGTGTGGATGGATGTGTATGAGTGCATGTGTCTGTGTGTGTAAATACATGTGTGTGTGTTGTGCATATGTATGTATGTATGTTGTGCATATGTATGTATGCACCTGTGGGCCAATGTGTGGATGGGTGTGTGTGAGTGCATGTGTGTATGTGTGTTGTGCATATGTATGTGTATGTATGTATGTATGTATGCATGCATGCATGCACCTGTGGGCCCGTGTGTGGATGGGTGTGCTTGCTTGTGAAGACCTGATTTTAGTGTCTGGAAGAAAACTGTCCCCCATTTCATCTTATTTGTTGAGGAAGGGTTTCTCAACAAGCCCAGTGCCTTCTTGACTGCCATCTCCACAGCCGCCTAACTTCCTCATAAAGAAGGAACTGAATCTTTGCCCTGTTAACCAGAAAATGTCCCAGCCCGCTTCCCCCGTTTCACGGTGACTAACTAGTACACTGTGGCTTTGGTCTTTGTGAATCGCTTCTGTCTGAGTATATGAATGTCACTGTGGAGATAAGAGGCTGAGCCCATACACACAGCCCCCAGAGTCCTGATTACACGATGAGATCATGCCTCCCTTCATTAACAATGAATTATTCTTTGGCTCAAGGGAAAGTTCTTACCAGTAACCTCACTAAGCCAACTCTATAAAACTAAACATCAGGATATTCAGGCGGTGACAACATGGCTGTTGTACTTTCTGTCGTCTGATCTCATTGTTCAGTCAGGAGGACTTGATGAGGTCACATAGCTTAGACCTAATTCTCATTCCTTGTTCTCTCCATCATCTGATATGAACATCAAAAACGTTAAGATAATAATATTTGAAGTTACATTAAAATGAAATAAGTGATAAGCACAAAAATGTGGATTTCAGAAAATTTACCTCATCTAACTTTAACCAAAAATAAAAGCAGAATCATGCAAATCTAGGTTTTTGTATTTTAGTGTTTGAGACTAAACATTTAGTGTTTAGTGTCTGGAACTCAGTAGAGCAGCCTGGCCTCAAACTCAGAAATCCACCTGTCTCTGCCTCCAAAGTGCTTTTCCCACTAGCCTGGTCTTGCCAAGTCACCATCTCTCAGGCTGGGTTCTCCCTGTCTCTCTCTCCAGAGCCGATGGTCCAGTTTTCTGGGAACTCCCCAACTTTCCTAGCTTGTTTTGTTGTTGTTTGTTTTGGATTTCAGCCCTAGTGGGTCTGGAACTTTCTGGGATCCTCCGACCTCTGATTGGGTGCTGGGATCCTAAGTCCTGGGCTCACAGGCATGCATTTCTAGTGGTCTGACCCACAATTTGCTCAAACAGGATAGTAGACAATATTAAGTCACCTGAGCACTGTGACCGACAGGCATTCATGACTTTCCAGTTTCTTTCTTTTTAAGAAAATAATTATTAGCCAGTCGGTGGTGGCCCAAGCCATTAATCCCAGCACTCAGGAGGCAGAGGCAGGCAGGTCTCTGAGTTTGAGGCCAGCCTGTCTACAGAGTGAGTTCCAGGACAGCCAGGGCTACACAGAGAATCCCTGTCTTGAAAACAAGAACAAGCCGGGCGATGGTGGCGCAAGCCTTTAATCCCATCACTTGGGAGGCAGAGGCAGGCGGATCTCTGTGAGTTCGAGACCAGCTCTGGTCTACAGAGCTAGTTCCAGGACAGGTTACAAAGCCACAGAGAAACCCTGTTTCGAAAAACAAAAAAACAAACAAAAAAAACCCAAAAGATTTGTTTTTATTATCTTTTAATTACATGTATGATGTATGAGTGTGTCTGTGTGGGTATGTGCAGTGCCAGGGGAGGCAAAGGTGGCAGGTACAGGTGATTGTCAGCAATCCGATGTGGGTACTGAGAAGAGGTCACAGGTCCCTTGCAAGAGCAGTGTGAGCTCCTAACCAGCCCTCCAGTTTATTTTCTGATTAAGGAAAGTACTTTCAAGAACATTCTTGGTAAACAGAGGAATGTCTGAAAAGCAACAAAGAACACACACAAAATAGCAGGTAATTGACATTTTAATGCATCTATGCAGTGATATAACATTAAAAAAGAATCGGTTCTACAGCATCAGTCTTAAAAGATTAACATTTATAATACTTATAATACAGTAAAATAAAGTTTCACAAAGTTAAATGTCCTTAACATTTAATTTTACTGTTAAGCTAGATATTTTTAAATGTACAAAATGAGAATATCTCACATTTAAAAACAAAACAAAACAACAGAGTCTTGCTTTGTAGCCCAAGCTGGCTTTGAACTTGACGTCCTTCTGCCTCAGCTGCTGAGTGCTAGGACAGTGTGCACATGCCACCATATTTTACCGTCTTATTTATTTACTTATTTGAATTTGCAGATGTAGCGCCTGTCACTCAGAAAGACAAGTTAGGTCATTTAGAAGCTGGAACTTTCTGGGCCTCTGCCTGTTCCATGTGTTACTCTGGTTTCTCCACTATGTAAAATCCTTTGGACATTAATCAATTATCTGAATGGAAGCTATATGAGGCAGAAACCATAATCCTATCAGGGAAATAATTGGCTAGATCCTGCTGAATAGAAAGAAACCAGAAGTAGTGTTTTTTTCTTCTCTATCTTAAATTTTTTTAATTTATTTTCATTTTTCAAGACAGGACTTCACGTAGTCCAGGCTGGCCTTGAACTCACTGCACTAAGGTTGACTTTGAACTCCTTATCTTCCTGCCTCCCAGGCATTAAACACAATGCAGTGCTGGGACTGAACCGATAGGCTGGGCAGCTGCTCTATCAACTCAGCTATATCTCCGGCATCTTAAACATTTTATTTATTTATTTGTTTGCTTTTCAAGGCAGGGTTTCTCAGTAGCTTTGGAGCCTGTTCTGGAACTCTTGTAGGAACACCACCACTGCCTGGTTAATTCTTTTTTTTTTTATTTTGATGGTACTAGGTATCAGGGTTTCATCTAAGCCTGCCAGGAAAATCCTCAAACACTGATCTACATCTCCTGCCTGCCAACAATTTCTTTTAAAAAACATAGTAAAACTTCTCTGATGAATAAAACATCAACCAGGAGGTGCTTGGTAAGATGAAGTGTGCTAATGAATCACGGAGGGGGGGGGGGACACCAAGTCGATAAAGGTGTCGTTCCCACGTGCACAAGACAGGCTGGGTGGGGGGACTTGGGGACATATGCATAGTCACAGACAACAGCGAGAGATCTACTTAAGGCACAAAGACAATCTATGGGGCACGTGGCCTTTGGTTAACCACTGGTTAAAGACTGTTCCTTGAGCCGGGCGGTGGTGGCACAGGCCTTTAATCCCAGCACTCGGGAGGCAGAGGCAGGCGGATCTCTGTGAGTTCGAGACCAGCCTGGTCTACAAGAGCTAGTTCCAGGACAGGCTCCAAAGCCACAGNCAGGCGGATCTCTGTGAGTTCGAGACCAGCCTGGTCTACAAGAGCTAGTTCCAGGACAGGCTCCAAAGCCACAGAGAAACCCTGTCTTGAAAAACCAAAAAAAAAAAAAAAAAAAAAAAGACTGTTCCTTGAGACTCATCCTAAGTAGCTCACCCATTCAGCAACAGGCCCGCAGCACTCCCACACGGACGGACGCGCTGCTTACACTGTGGCAGGCTCTGACTGCCCTATGAGGTAGGTACCATCCTACTCCCATCTTACAGGAGCAAAGGGCACACAGGCTTAATCAAGTTGCCCAAGATCACAATGTGTGACAACCGATCTTGTCTTCAAGTCCTCGTGACTTCCCTAGGAAGAATCTCCTAAGAACTTCTTTTACGAAGAGAGATTCCTAGAGAAACTGAAGGAAGCAGCCTGAATGAAGGAAAAAGCAAGATCAGAACTGGGGGTCCTGAGCTCGCCCCTCCCCAGGGACGGATATCTAAAACGACAACACATTTTAATGAGAAAAACATGAAACTGGAACCAGGTGAATACACGGTCTCTCCAGTCTCAGGAAAGGCTCCAGGTGGGTTTGAAATGTTTGAGTAAGATCACAGCGTTCAACCTCGGATGTTAAACCAAGCAGAAGCTGACCCGGAAGAGCCGGCTTCTCACCCATGAGACCAGCATATAAAGGCAGTGAAGAAATGGTTGGCTATAAAAGACAGTTTGAAACGGGCTAAGAATATCCCTGTGTATCCCAGTTCATTACTTTATCATACTCCTGAATTCTTTGCTTTATGTGAGAAAGTTTGTTCTTGAGGTAATCACAACGCTCCTTCTTTTCCAGAAATGAAGGGTCCTACGAAAGAAACAGTTATTCATTCAGTTTTCCTCCGTGACTGATAGACACGTCCTCGCACAGAAAGCAGCGGAGTTACCGGCAGATACGATCTGATAATTAGAACACTCATGCTCTCTGTCAACACAAGACAGCCTGTGCTTCAGGGTCACAGAAAAACTGAGGGAATTGGAGAGTAGAAAGGAACCTTTAGTAGTCAACACATGTGAAGAACAAGTGTGGGAAATATGAATAAAGGTCCCTCCTGGATTTTTCCCAACTCCACCCTTTGCAGAATCTCACAAGTCAATAGAGATTCCATGAGAGACATTTCATAATTTAAGCTTAAGAGAAACTGGAGGTCTGTCAGTTATCACTAACATACTGAGACAAGGATGTGGACAAAGACAATTGATTCTACTCACATTCTTTTTCTTCCTAAACTCTTCATGGATTCTTGAAATTCTCTCGTGTTCCTAAATATAATATATTTTTATCTTATTTTAGTTAAAACACGCAATTACTCAAATCATGTCTCAAAGCACACTGGGAATTAGAACAAAAAAACTATTTTTTGCCAAGCGCAGTGTCACTCGTCTGCAATGTTGGCACTTGGAGGCAGACGTCGGACACCACTCTGAATTCAAGTTAGTCTGGGCTACAGAGGGGACCCTGCCTCAAAAACAAACCTCCCTGTTCTTTGCACAAAGCTAGAATGAAAATAGCTACACAAATATATAATTCACTGATAAACATTTGCAACTAACTCCCTGCCAGGCACTGCTCTCCGCCAAGTGTTACAAGCAGCCGTGTGACCCCGGGTGAACCGTCTGTCCTAACTGTCCTAAGATTCTTCCCCCACCACAAACAATATCCATAACCTTCAAATGCTTGTCAGGAAGTTCACTTATTCGCAATGATCCTGATAGAGAGATAAATAAAAACCACCACACTGGTCCTTTCCCTCATCTTCATCCTCCCGGACAGCTCTCCTCGTGAGTCAGGTGTGTTCGAGCAAGAGGCCGGGACTGTTCGACTCCTGAGAAGAGCTAGTAGAAGGTCCCTTCTAATTTTATTATACATTTTATATTAAACATAAACATAATATTATATAATTAAGTGACCTTGCTCAAACACTTTGACAGACAGCAGACAGGCGTTTGGGACTCCCAACACAGGGCAGTCTCCTCTTAGCCGGGGTGGCTACTGACCTGGGGGTTTTCAGCGTGACGTGGCAGCCTGCTCATCACCGCGTCCAGCTCCTCGAACTTCCTCAGGATGGCCTGCACTTCCGCAGACAGCTCTTTGTACTCTGAGAACTGGTCTTGGAACACAGCTTTGTAACGTTCTCGATCATCATCCGTCCGAATCACAGGGTATTTTCTGAGGAAAATCACAAATCGGGGTGACAACTTTCCCCTGCAGGAGGTCTGTGGTGGCACTTCCCTAGCAGGCTCAAGACCCTGGGTTCTATCCACAGAGTGGAAAACGCAAGCTGGATAGATGAATCGGGTCAGCTCACTCAGTGCCCAGGCCTGGCGGACCTTTCTTATTTTCCAATCCTACCCTGGATAACAAACGATCATTCACATAAATGACTTTAAACACAGTGCTGGCTTGTTGACAGACTAGAAGATGCTAGAAAAACCGATATGGACTCACGCCACATAGTCAGGCATCACAATGGGCTTGGGAATGTAGCCTGGAGGGATGTGCCCGCTTTGAAGCTCAGGGGTCGGTTTCACTATTCTCGACTCTTTGAAATTAACGTCTTGGTCTCTCTGTCTGTCACTGGTGGCCACTTCGCACTGCAAGAAAAGAGATAAAGAATCGACTGTACGAGGGAACAGGACAAGAGTCCACCCAAGTTACTGGGAGAGAACGAAGCGGGAGTAGGAAGACTAAACGTGAAAAAAACAGCTGTTGAGCGTTCCGTGTCTTATACACACAGTGATGGTTTCAACGCAACAGCTGAACAGAGTCATGTCGGGAAACGGCAGCGGAGAGGCCGGCACCTCCCGCTCCTAATCAGCATATTACAAAGCAATAAAAATATTCAGGAAAGAAGAAAAATGGCTGCGAAGGACTGGGAGAGGTTTCTAACAAAGCCAGCAGACGGGACACTTGAGTGGAAGATGCAGAGGAATCTTCTAGAACACGCAGTCAAAGGTAGCTCAGCATTTAACTGCACTGCACCCAGAACACCCAAGGCTGGTAGATGCAAGAAGGGTCCGATGCCTAAGGTAAGGTTCAGAAAGGCTAAGTGAACCCTCCAAGCAACTAATCGGAAAAACCCCAACTAAATTCTCCTAGTGTTTGATTTTTGTGATGCTAGAGACTGACCCCAGAGGTTTTGAGCATGCCAGGCTAGCTGTGTTCCACCAATGCATTGTACCCTAACCCAAGATTCCCTGACATATGAACAAGATGCAGAAAACCTATTTGATTAAATGCTGTTCACATGTTAAAGCTCCCTGAAGTTCCAGGCGCATACTGGAAACAAGCCTGACAAAGAAGGCAGGCAGTGCCAGCCACAGCTGCAGGAAAACGAGGCCCCGATGCAGAAACTCCTTTCTTCTCTACATAATACAAACAAAACAAAAACCAACGAAAGAGTGCAAACACGCAATGAAGGATTCTGAAGCCTTGCCCTCCATTGCTTTGGCAGCTTTTAAAAGTCCTTTGTCTCCCCACCTCCCTGCTTCCGGACTGGTCTTGAGGTTTGGTTTAACTTTAGCTCACTGTCAAAGCCACCAGCTCTTACCTCACCAAACGGCACAGGCCTGAGCTAGTGGAGGCTGTTAACCTGCCCAAGAAAAGGAACCAGGAAAGGAGAAGCTCCAAGCCCACAAGCCTGATGGTAGGAGATCACACCAAAAGCCTTGGGGACCCAAGGCAAACAAATGGGGACAGAATAAGGAACAAAAGCAAGGTGTCTTACTGATGTCGTCTGCATGACAATGGCCCCCATGGCTCATATGTTTGAATACCTGATCCCCAGTTGGTGGAACTACTTGGAAAGAAATTATTGGAGGAGGTGTGTCACTGGGGTGGGCTTTGAGGTTTCAAACACCACACCATTTTCAGTGTGTGTGTCTGTCTCTGCCTCCCGAGTGGATCTCTGTGAGTTCGAGGCCAACCTGGTCTACAGAGCAAGTTTCAGGACAGGCTCCAAAGCTACAGAGAAAGCCTGTTTAGGAAATCTTTCCAAAAGCAATCTACAGATTCAACGCAATGCCCATCAAAATCCC